ATAATAAATGAAATGCAAAAAAAGCGTAAGTTTGCTAAGGTCACGCACTTTGCGACTATCCTAGTCTAGAAATATAGTTAAGGGCAGAAATTGGCCCTTGGAATAAACTGAAAAAATCATTATGGCCCGAAGGCTTCAAAGTTTGGAGACCCCTGACCTAGACAATTAGGTGCATACAATCGATCTCAACATTTTGAATATTTAAGGAGTGATAGAACACAAAAACTCATGATATTGCATTCTATCCGAGTGAAAGGCTTGTGATTGAACTTGTATCAAAATTGTACTTTCGTCAGAGCACTTTCTCAAAAATACATGAATGCAGTCTTTTTCCTTCTTCTCAATTCCTTGGTGTCAATAATTCTGTTTCCAGAAAATCCTACTTATCCACTACCAGCATCTCATAAAGGAGTGATTTGAGACGGTCCCATAGCACAGAAAACAAACCAAGGTATTGAAGACTTATACCTTGGTGGCTATCGTTGAGATATATCCACGACCGATCGAAATTTGGCTCAGTGATTCAACTACTAATGAATGATTCAGGTCCATTCATTTACCGAAAATTACTATTGAAACTATATTTTCTAATGATGATATCCTAATGATATCCCGTTAAAATGTTCTTTACCTGTGAACAGTTATTCAATTTCAAAGTTGGGATCAGACACAATAGGTTGAACAAATCTTTGAATGTGTAGTGGGAATAGTTTGTTGGTTTGATTTGAAAACACACAAATAGTACAATAACTCATATCGAACTTCAGTGCTATCTTTTTGGTACTCATCGAAGGGTTTTCTTCAATTCCTTGCATAAATTGCTTCCTTTTATTATGGCACAGTTACTGCTGTAGGTAGGTTCGACCCCCCACCAGATAGATATTCTGCTTCTGTTGCTCAATAATTCAATACAAAGCAGGTTCATGAGATATCCTGCTCTTGGGGAGGTGATGAGTCATTCCTGTTGCTTGGAAAACTGAAAAGCTACTTCTCTTTATTCGATTTTGAAGGGAAAACAGATGGAGTAATTTGTCAACTTCTACCTCTTTTGTTGTTTCAACTGGGGACTTGGAGACCTGAGAAGCTGACTCTACTGATTATTTGTTACAGAAAGGACAGTTGGAGTCGTTCAGTCGAAGTCCAGCTCCTCTGCAGACTCAGGTTCGAATTGTTTGGTTACTTCGTGGTCCATTCAAGGTACCATGAGTAGCTAGGGAAGGAAGGTCCATCAGGGCAGAGCCCTGCATTACCATGATAAGGTTTTCTATGGCGAGAGGAGTAATATTAGTGACACTTAGTAGACTTAGAGTCATACATACTTTCTGCACGGATACACACACTTTGGAATGAGGTGCTTACAAGGATTCTCACCTCCAAGTATGACACCTTAATCGGTAGGTGCATTTCAACGTCCCTGTTGGAGAATGGAATTACTGTAAGCCTAGCATATTCAGTATCACGACTGAGACATTTTTTTCCGCATGATCTTCCATATCTCCTCAGAAAACGTTTTTTAGTACGGGTTAACCTGTCAGAATAACGTTCATCCACAAATGAAATGCATCTCAGCCATTTCAATACTAGTGTATGCAGGTAACGTACTGATTCGTAAATGAGGTGATTTGATATTTGCACAACGAGAGTGAATAGAGGTGCTGAAATTAACAGAGATTCATCATTGAACAGCTTTTATTATCAATACTTCCATAAAAATATTCATTTCAGCCTCACTGAGTTCATCGGATATAATTCAAAATCTGAACATATTGTTACGTTTTTCTCAGTGGGTTGACCAATAGTTGACTACACTGAATAATCAAAATTGACTTTATTTCACTTTGAATACAACAAACACTTCAACTAAACTACGTTTAAATATCGTAATTGAATGGCGCAGAAATTTCGCCGAAGTTCCGTCGAAATCGGTGGCATTATTCTCGCTGCTTCTAGAGCAGCAGAGAACATTATGCATTCGCGTTCTCTTAGCTATGTCACGTTTGGTTCATGGTTACCAGTGGCGGCCGGCGTTATTTTCTTTCGGGCATGATTTACAACAATATAGAAATCAACTTAATGGATAAATATTTTGTCTTCTTTCACTTCTTCTTCTATTGATCGAATTTTATTCAGATTATAAAAATTTCGAGAATGAATGATTGTGTGCCAAGAATGTATTACTTTATTTTTCTAAGAAACAGTCGCTTCTACCGAGAAGCAGAAACATCAACTTTTTGGGTTCAAATAGATCGTCTTTTGAAGAATTTCATATATTATGAGAAAAGTTAATACCCCATTGAAATTCTGAAAATGTCATGTTCCGACACACCCATTTATATGTATCCGTAACATCAATTTTCATGAAATTGACGACATAATCTTCTTGTTTTTTGACTTGGCCGTTGACTTGAATGACTTTGCCGTTACTTGATGAAGATCCATAGCAATTTGATAAACTACAACTCACGATTTGATCTCCACAAACTTTGTGACATAATCTTCAACTGAGACACAAATTTCTCACTTTTACTATCACAAATATGAATGTAAATGTATTTTCTCACAATAGATTCAACTGAATATAAAACGCCAAAGTAACATCCACATTCTTGAACCAATTACTCCGGGTTTACAAACGAGACGTTTTTTTTTTCGGAGGAAAACAGGATTCGAACTCAACCAATTGCCAAGTTATCTGTATCCGCTAAAGAAATCAGCTCTGGATTTCCTTTGGATCGAGTTACTGGCTCGCTAATCAGATTATGGGAAAGCAACAAATGCTGTACGAGAATTAGTACGAGTGGTTGCTAAATAAAAGGAGATCAGGAGGAAGATTCTGATAAAATATTGTTGATTACAGATTTTACCGAAACACGATTTCAACTTCATATTCCTGATGAATGTGAAACCTAGAAAATAATAGACAAACATAAGTAGTTTCTAGACAATATTTTGCATAGATTATTGTCTGGAAAATACTTTGTTTTCATTCACTGAGAAATCTGCTGGAAACTGATTATCCATTTATTTCGGTGTAAGCTTCTAAGTGAGGGTATAGTGGAATGATGAAAAATAAGGTGAATGTTAATATTTTGCTAGGCGCCAAAAAAAGAACGATTGGGAGGTCGTCAAGACGGTTATCACAGCACCGGCAGTTGAATGGGCTATCAAGTATTTTCAGCCCTTCAAATCTCCCAGAGAGGATAGTATATTTCCAGCTCTGGTTCTGCTTCCAAAACGAACTGGAAATAATTTTACCCATTCTCATAAAATTGTTTAGAGCTAGTCTGGCGTGGAAATATATACCACCCAGTTGGTTAGCAGCAAGTGAGCCGGAGAGACCCACACCCTAAATCGGTTCGACCAATCAGCCTTACATCCTTTCTGTTGAAAGGACTTGAGAGGATATTGGAGGGTGGCATTATATGCATCCCCCATGAATAATCACTAGTATGCTTATCAAACAGGCAAAGAAAGATCTCCCAACCCCTTGACAAAAAGAAGATTGCGGTTGCTGTATTTCTCGATATTGAAGGAGCATTTGACAATGCAATGACTAAATCTACAGGATCGTCTTTGGCTAGAAAAGGTATAGATTCGACCATAACTGGCTGGATCTATGTCATTCTGGTACACAAAACTGCAACTACGACTCTTCAAGGCGAGGCCATTAGGTTCAGGGTCACCAGGGGCTGCCCTCAAGGTGGGGTATTATCTCCACTTCTGTGGTTGCTCTTGATAGATAGTCTGCTTGATGCCCTCGACAGAAGGCATGCAAGCCTTGCAAGCTTATGCAGATGGATTTGTCATCTTGGCAAGGTCCACGTCAGAAAGGATAGCTTGTAATATCCTCCAAAGCACGATGGACGTTGTTCACAGGTGCCTGAGGAAGCAGATGTCTGTCATCCCCAGCAAAACTGTAATAATCCTCTTCACCAGGAGGAGAAAATCTAACGCCACTTTCTCTCAATGGTGAGGTCATTCCATTTGGAACGGAGGTGAAATATCTTGGCATTGTCCTTGATAAAAACTGGCCTGGAACGATCACTTTGAAAAAGTTTATCACTAAGCCAGACTCTCTCTATGGACATGTCGAAGAATTTGTGATAAAACTTGGAGTTAAGGTTCCAAACAAATCCATTGGATTTATGTGATGATTGTCAGACCAATGATCACTTATAGTGCAATTGCCTACAGACCGAGGGCTTGAAAGAAAACGGCCCTGTCGAAGCTTTCTGGCTTACAGAGACAGGCTTGTCTGGCTTTCAGTGGTGCCATCAGTACCATACCGTCAGCGGCCATGGAGATCCTTCTAGATCTACCTCCTCTCCACATTTTTCTGGTGAGAGAGGCTAGATGGACTGCATATAGACTTGTGAACATTGCTAATTACACGAATCAATTTAATGCAGAGTGCAACAGACTGTTGGTTGACACTGGAAATGACTTCTGACTTTATGCCTCCAACTGTCAACTACGAACTGCGTTATAAAGTACTGTTCCGGAGTAGAGAGGACTGGATCCTCCGGGAGAAGGAAATATTAAGAGCAGATAGTTGTTGATTCACAGATGATCAAAAATACCTTCCGGTTTTGGTGCATTTATAAAACTGTAACATATCTGAAACTTAACATCAAGAGCTTCTCAAAAAATTCTGACTCTCATGACTATGCTACGAGGCATGGTGACTCATTTAGAAGTAAAAAGCACCATACTTTACTTTACGAAAGCAGTCCTAAGTATAATGGAATACGATTTTTCAGTCATCTCTCCAGTGATATCAAAAACGAAAAAAATATCAATGAATTCAAAACAAGATTGAAAAATATTCAGTGGGATCCTACTTTTATGACAATAGTGAATATTTGGCTAATTCATACTATTTTAAATTGTTAACTAGTTATTTTTTATCGTATGGGCTATCAAATAATAACGAAATGAAGGACCGTGTTTATCCAAATATTGGTTCTGCGGTCGACGTGTATACATAAAAAATGAATTACCTGGTGTGCCCATAGAAATACATCACGATGCTCGAGGCCAGGACCAATAAAGTCGACAGAACGTACATGGCGAACGTAACTTCGGAGTTGAGCAGAAAAGGAGTCGGGCTGCCGAAGTTGTAGACCCTCGAATTGTGTTTGAGCAGAGGTAAGGCTTTCCACACCCCTACCACGTGTACCTAAAACAAATATTTCGTGAATAAACATCGCTTTCATCGAATTAACTTGACGAAAGGGGATTGTTCGAATGAGATTGTGATTATAGTGTACGAGGCGGGCGATTGAGGAAATAGGTCATTTGGTTTGTTGAAAATACGAAACTTACCTTTTTTAAAAATTTGATGCATTTGAAAAGGTCTTCATTTCCCATTCAAACACATATTTTGGTCCCTATATAAAATTAAAAATAGGCAAAAACGCGTCGAACGTATTTTTGAGCCTAGTTTCATTTGAATTACATCATCACATCAGGGGAAGACAAAACCCCTAAAATCTCAAATGTAACGGAGGATTGAGTGATGCCTAATTTTCATTTCATACGAGTATAACTTATTCAATCTTAGTGCTTTCCTTACTGTTTCACACCAAGCAGAGGAGAGTGGAAAAACCACCCACAGGTTGGAGCGAAGGAAACTTGGTATGCGTACGGCTCAAAACCTCAAGAAGAAGTAGGAGCCGGCATATGTGGAGGCAGAGCGAAGACGAGGATCGCACGCTGTCTCGGACAGAACGCAAAAGTGTTTCAGGCAGAAGTTGCCGCTGTCGAACACTGCGTAGGAGAATTACCCAGGCAGAAGCTTGGAAACAAAACCATTGACATTTTCTCCAACAGTTAGACGACAATTGAGGCGATCAGCTCCTACCAAGTCTTTTTGCGAGTTGTAGAGAGCTGTCTTAGTGTACTCAATGGGCTAGGTCCAATCAATAGGGTTACCCTAACCTGGATACCCGGACACGAAGGGCACAAGCGCAATGGGGATGCTTTAGCCCGTCAAGGTGCATCCAAGGCCATGATAGGTCCAGAACCTTTCTGTGGGCTAGCGTGGGTGCACCAAGCAGAGAGGACAGGAAAAATGACTTTCTAGTTGAAGGGAAGGAAACTTGGTTACGGACGGTTCAAAAACTCAAGAAGAAGTAGGAGCCGGCATATGTGGAGGCAGAGCGAAAATGTGAATCATACTCAGTCTCGAACCGAACACAACAGCGTTTAAGGCAGAAGTTGCCGCTGTTCAACACTGCGTAGGAGAATTGCTCAGACAGAAGCTCGGAAACAAAACCATTGCTATTTTCTCCAACATCCAGGCGGCAATTGACGCGATCAGCTCCTACTAAAGTCTTGGTAGGAGCTGAACGACTGAACCTAGCACTCAATGAGCTAGGTTCAAACAATAGGGTTACCCTAACCTGGATACCCGGGCACGAATATCACAAGTCCAATGGGAATGCTATAGCCCGTCAAGGTGCATTCAAGGCAATGATAGGTCCAGAACCTTTCTGTGGGCTGGCGTGGATGCACCAAGCAAGGAGGGCAGGAAAAACGACCCGCTGGTTGGAGCGGAGAAAACTTGGTGTACGGAAGGCTTAAAAACCTAAGAAGTAGGAGCTGGCATATGTGTAGGCAAAGCGAAGACGAGAATCGCACTTAGCCTCGGACAGAACGCAACAGTACTTCAGGCAGAAGTTGCCGATGTCGAACACTGCGTAGGAGAATTGCTCAGGCAGCTGCTCGGAAACAAAAATAATTGCCACTTTCTCCAACAGCTAGGTGGGAATTGACTCCCTCAGCTTCTACCAAGTCTTTTCGTGAGTTGTAGAGAGCTGACTTAGCGCGCTCAATGGGCTAGGTTCAGACAATAGGGTTACCTAATTATCTGGACACGAAGGGGACAAGGGCAATAGGGAGGCCAATGCTTCAGCCCGTCGAGGTGCATCCAAGGCCATTATAGGTCCAGAACCCTCTTGTGGGCTGGCGAAGACAAGCACTACAGACCTCTATCAATTAGACCTCTATCAATTTAGCAATTTAGCTGTCAGGAGAAAGAAGAAACTGCACTACATGTGCTATGTGAATACGGAGCGTTAGCATGGAAGACATGGAAGATGCAGAAATGATAAACCAGAAGCTATAAGCTATATGAAGAAGCCAATATTCAACTATGTTCGTTTCTCGATGCCTTGTCAAATTTAAAAATCGCTCCGTATCAAGCATCGTATTAGCTGCCAAATTAGGTGTAATATTCTCATAAGTGGGACAAAGAGGTCCAATAATGATTGTAATTATTTTAATTCGTGAACGGGGGCCTAGACCATTCGCAACATTATAAAATTCGAATCAGTAGTAAAAGATTTCAGGCAGGAGCACAGTGTGTTTATGTATTGAGTGTGAGAAATACGAGTTTTGGATTATTTTTCACGATTGGAGAATCAATTGCCGTTTTTTATTTTTAACAACTGTCGAGTGAGTTCCGTTGTTATTTCCTCATTCAAAGGGGACACAAAGCTGAAATCAGAGTCTAAGACCACTCTCTATCAGAAGTGCGGATAAAATAGTGGCTTGTGAAATATTCTACCGAATAATTTCAAAAATTCGAACGCCTGACGGTTCTTGCTACTTCCTGGAAGTTGGGAGAGTACAGTTTCGACCGCCCAGATCGCAGCCACGGGAGGGGGGAGGAACTAATGAGTACTACCATTATTTCTTACATTATCCGGTAGGTAACTTTTAATTTTATGTAACCAAGATATTTTTATTGAATTATAAGTAGGTACATGTGAAATTAAATAGAAGTTACTTTACAACATAAATGAATAAGGAGTGAGTTGCTTCACTGAACAGGATGGAGTAAAAGTTCATATGTACCTCCTGATATAATTAGTTTTCTAGAAATAGCTCATTATACGTCATCAACTAATTGAGGCAATTGAGAATACAAAACTTAAAAAAATACTCAAAATCAACCTTAGGTGGAGGAATTAAATGTTTTCACAACTCACCTTATAAAGAATTGACATTCCTGCGAAGGACAAGAGAGTATGCAACCCGTTGATCAATAATTGAAAAGAGAATATTAGCCCCAAGCACTTGTTTGTAGACCAAAAAAGAGCCGGATATCTAACGGAGTAGATAATGAGTGCCAATGCTAAATTCATGTATTCAATACTGATTGGGCTGCCGAATCCAGATTCTGAAATAAAAACCTTCGATTAGTTTAGTACATTACACAATCACTTAATGATGATGTGAATAAACTCATTCAGAATACAATTCCAATTTCGGCATTCAACAAATCTATTGTATTTTCTGCAATTCTATACGATACGTTACTAGGTATGTTGAGAAGAGAAGAATAATTTTAACAAGTTCATAGTTCTTTGAATGACGATATTTTGTGGTTATTTCAAATGGCATTAGCAGATGATAATTCTCAAGTTATTTTTATACACTGATAGTGAGTGTCGTTAACTTCATTTTCCAGAATATTGAAAAGCACACATTTAACCAAGATTTTTGGGTAAAATTGTATATGTATAAGAAACTCCGAACACAAAATTGATATTCTTGCTAGCCCTTATATAAAAATCACTCTTCCCTATAGACCATAGCCATGACCACCGCTAGAGGAAAACAAAACTTTTCGCTACAACTACAACAGATCTAACAGGCTACTGCCTGAAGAATACTTGATTTACGTTCAACAACAAGATCCACAAATATCCAAAAATAGCTCCAATAGATTCTTCTCCATCGAAAGAATCATTTAACGACATTTTCCACAAGCCGACGTCATAAAAATGATATATAAATGACATCTTCATCATCTGAATCCAGAGATAACAAGAACTAGAGTTGTCTACAACTTGCATTACTCACAAGCTCCCATTCAGTTGATAACTGAAATAAAAAAATACATCTCACCCTTTTGATACAGGACACAGATTACCGAAAAAAACAACACATACTAAATTAATGAAAGATAGAACTGCAACCTTTGGTGTAGATCCAATTCAAAACAAGTACTCTTCCCAAACATCAGAACTACAACACTTTTATCGACATTTACCAAGTTGGCATCTTCAGGAGATAAAGTACACTGATGTAGTACCTTGTACTTCATCTACCATGTACTTCATCATCGATATCGTGACTAGTACTTATACCAAAAAATGAAAGAGGGGGGGAAAACACAGAATTGTGTGCGTCACCTGTGGCCAAAAGAACAAAAAGTCATAACACATATCATCTGATCTTTTCTGGTTTCTTCCTGACATTCTTTAGAATATCAAGATTTATTTATCAGCTTCGTTTCGAAGACTTTTGACTGAAACCGTCCCCATGAAAAAAGTCTAATGGAGTCATATCGGGAGATCTGGGTGGTTATTCACAGACTATTTTCTTCCAATCCATCAACCCGAAAAGTTATCATCAAGGAACTGTCGCAGTGGTACTACGCAATGGGGAGAAGACCCATCTTGTTCTACCCTATTTGGCGATAGAGGATTTGAAGGAATGACATTGTTAATGCTTGACATAACTTGATTATTGAACAAATGGAAGTATCCTCCACCATTTAGTTTTGCTACGAAACAGAATGGTTGCCCAAATTTGTGAACACTAAGTTTTCGGGGATTTGTGTGTGAATTTGGTCGGCCATATTATATTTTGAATAATTAATTCATTGTTGATAGAGCAACCGATCATTGAAAACTGTCCTCGGTCTTCGGAAGAAAAATCACTTTATTCATTTCGTAGGACTCCTGTGAAGTTCTTATTGTTTTGTTGGGTATATTTCTTTCCACAATCAGAAAAAACAAGGTTATATACCTACCCAAAAAAATTGAAAATATTTGAGTGGTCCACAATTTTTTTTTAAAGAGTAACCTGTAAAGTGTTTCTCAATAGAAATGCCTCAAAAACATATGCCTCAAAAACATATAATACAAAAAAGCGATTTATTTCCAACAGGAGTACCCAGTTACAGGAAATACTATTATTACAAAGTATATATAAACAAAGCATATATAAAATATTAGTATACGTAGAATTCCAAAAGAGGAATGAAAAATTGAGTATATAACACAAAAAGTTACAAATCATGCAATGTACTGTCACAAATGTTATTTATAGTATTATTAAGTGATTGTGGATACATGATACCAAGGCGTTCAGAGAGTCGGAATGAGTATCGCAATGCTCACAGATTTTATTGAAGCTACTGCACATAAAATTCAATGGTGATCGTAGCATAACATTTGTGCGTGATGCTTCGCAATAGAATTTCAGATTGTGTCGACCTTCACTTCTTGGTACTAAGAAATTGATCTCGGATAAAAAAACCGTACCTACTGTCAATATTGTGGTTTAGTAATTTATGCAGGAATTTTATACCAAGGATGACTCTCCTATTTTCCAAAGATGTCATATCTAATCGTGTCAACAAAATGCTATGATAAATGCTTCTCGTGGGGTATTAGCCATCAACTTTTAGGCATAAGAATTTTAGAAACTTTCTTTGCACGTTCTAAATTGATGTTTTTTGGTAGTCGTGAATTGGATTCCATAACACAGAGCCACACTCTAACTTAGATCTGGCAACGCAAATTCTAGCAATTTTAAGGTGGCAATACTTTTGAAGTTTTTGCCATTTCTCCAAATGAATCGAAGCATCTTTTTGCATCAGCAGTCATATTCCTCATATGTGTTGTACATGTTAGTTTACTGTCGTATGTTATACGGCATATATGTTATACGATCTTTTATCTCGTGTACTCGGTTGATTGTAGTATTGCTGATTGACTAATCGTACAGTAAAGTTCGCTCTTTTGTCGTTAATGATATTATTTTACATTTGGGTACGTTCAGTTGTAGACGATTACAATTACACCAAAGTTTGATTATATCTGATTCATTGTACACATTGGCAGTCAGTAATGTCGTCGATTTTATAATATAGCTTCAGGTCGTCTGCAAATAGTAGGCTAGGAATATTCAAAGAGGTTGCCAAGTTTAAAATCTGTTTAAAATCTGTTTTTCCGTTAATCAGCTGTCGCCCCCATACGAACGACAACTCTCAGAAGTTGTGAAACGAGCTAAGGACTAACGAGATCTTACCTTTGAACGTGTGATTCCTAACACGGTTGAAGAATCATTCCAGCTTCAACCAGATAAATTATCTCGAGAAAAATATTTGGTCGAGGCGGGAATCGAACCCACGATCTTCCGATCGTGAGTCGGGCACACTACCACCGCGGCCAATTCCACAACAAGTCATTAATAAAAAATAAAAATGAAAGGAATCCAAGATTAGAACCTTGTGGTACCTCAGATATAACTACGTTCTGAGCCGATTTAAAAGATTCATATTCGACGAATTGTTTTCTGTTAACTAAATATGACTCAATTAGAGTAAGCAGTTGGTTAGAGAGTCCCAATTTTGTCATTTGCTGGGAAGAACATAATGGTCTATTTGATCGAAGTCTTTTTGAAAGTCTAAATAAACAACATCAACTTGGTTTCGCTTGTCCATGTAGGTAGAGAGATATTGATTTAAACATGCAAGAATTGTCATACATGATCTTTGTTGTACGAAACCATGCTGAGTAGGAGAAATAACTTTTTGAATATGGGAGTAGTTTAGAAGAGTTTAGAAAAGTTACAAGAATGTAGTATCGCCTTTTTTTAATATCGGACAAATTCGAACCGTTTTCCACTGCTCAGGTAAGGCACAAGTTGATAAAATTAAGTTGAATATGCCTATTAGAGGTATAGAGAGAACGTCGATATAGTCCTTTATCACAAGACTAGGAGCACTGTCAACGTCTGCGGTGAGTTTATTTCTTAATTTTTTTGAAGAAGTAACAATATCAATTTTAGAGGAGGCAGGGATGTTTAATGTATCTAATGAAAGATTCTCTCTATTATTTTTCAAAGATTTTCATTTTCAGTGTCATAAAAGCGTAATGAAAATTATAAAATTATTTCGAAACACTATGTTTGTTCATCACCACTCATTTCAAGAGACAAACTCCTTTATTTTGCGTCGTTACATTCTAGTTTCAATTGAAGTCGTGGAGTGAATCCACTAACGAACTAAATCCGTGAAGAGATTTCAGTAAAAAAAATCTTTTTGTTCTCAGTAATAAGGCAATTCAGTCACTGCACAATCCGCTCTTTATTAAATTCTATTGTCAGCCGGATTTTTAAAGTCCTAATGAAGCCCTTCACCTGTTAGTCGGCTTAATAACTGTCATTAAATCCAAGTTTCGTAAAAACGAAGTCGGAATTTCAGGCAGGAGGAAGGCTGCTCGTCTTGCTCGACTTCGGGTGTTTTTCCGTAATTTTTTTCAACCGCAAAACCAAGGGATTTGTCAGGCAAGCAAGAGAGCCGCTTTAGCCGGATCGATGCCACAGATAATAGAAACACATTCTTGAAGCGGATTTGAGTTCGGATGGATCCTTTCAGCGATGAAATATCCCTCAACGAAAGCCAAATCGCTTTTGGATTGCTCGGTGAAATGAGATTAAATGCATGTACGCTGTCTGTTGAAAAAATAAGGTGATTTTTCATTTTTCTCGAAAAATATTTATTTAATCATAATTTTTTTTCGTCTCTTTCAAAGTAAACCAATCCAGGTATAATATACTTGTTCCAGTGTTTTTCCAACCCTCTAAACAGTTCTGATATGAACTTTTTGGTATGTCCTTGAGCTATCTCAGCAATTCGGTTGTTATTTATTCAATCGTCGCAAAATACAGTCCTTTCATGGATCTCTCTAATATTAGGAATAAAAAAGTCGCAGGCTACCAAATATGGTGAATACGGTGGCTGAGTCATGATTAGTGTTGTTTTTGGCCAACAAATTATGAACAAGAAAAGAAGAAGAAGAAATAAAAACAAAATGTATTGCCCAACAGATGAATCCACTTACAGGACAATATATAATATAATAATGCAGTATAAATAATAGAGCTACATGAACTAAATATATAACAAAAGATTGACATATTAAGGATTTGACAAATCAAGAAATAAATTCACAGATATGATGGAATTGAGAAAAAAAGGAGACATATTAATTAATTATTATTTGTAAATAACATGAAATGAAGACAGTAAGCTAGATGCTGGTTTGTTCAATTTTGGATAATATGATCTTCAGTGGATCGAAATTGATATCAGATTGACTGCAGTGGGTATTATAATTATCACACATCAAATTTATAGAAGACACTTTTCCAAAGTTGGACCTGGTGGAAGGCGTATAGAAACTGATCTGTATACCTGTAGTAGCTTGAGGTACGTTGAAGTTAATTTGTTCTAGTAACGAGGGTGCATCAATGGAACAATGCAAAATTTTGTATAACATAACAATACTTGAGGAAACTCTACGTTGGTCCAAGGAAGGCAGACCGAAACTTTGAAATAGTGAGGAGTGGTCAATTCCTCTAGCAGGATACACGCCATCAGTTCTAAATGCAAGAAACTTTAGAAAATGCCTTCGCACATTTTCCAAGGTTTCCTTATGTACATTATAGAGAGGATACCAAATCAAAGTAGCATACTCTAACTTGTAGCGAACGAGATATGTATAAAGTATTGATAAGTCGGTAATATTGGTGAATGATTTACAGTTGCGCAGAACAAAGCCAAGCATTTTTCTAGCCGATGCCGCGACAGTATTGGTGTGGCCAATAAATGTCAACTTGCTATCGAACGTCACCCCTAGATCTTTGACAGTTTCTTCGCGAAGGGGTATTTCATCCTCGAAAGTATAAAAATGCTCAATGATATTGGGATTACGTGTAAAGAAGCAAACTTTGCACTTTTTTACATTCATTGTCAGTTTATTGATTTGACACCAGTTATCTATCAGATCTAATTGAGACTGGAGATAAGAGCACTTGTCTGAACTTGTGATAGATGAAAAAATCTTCTAGTTGTCTGCAAGGAGTGAGTTGCCACACAAAAGCTCGGAGGTGAGAATATTTATGAACATGTGGAAAAACAGGGGTCCTAGATTGGAGCCTTGTGGCACACAGGATGGTGATAAGTATGGTGCAGCCGCGAATCCATTATGAAAAACAACATTGGTTCTCTGATCCAAATAAGAGCGTAGAAGTTATGTTAGTGAGAGATTTGAACCCATTTGAGTTATTTTCTCTAGTAATATGGAGTGACTAATTATGTCGAAGGTCTTTGCAAAATCCAATTTTTATGCCTGTCACCAGCAAACTTGTCAAAGATGGCAACTTTTCTTCATGTCTTTGCAGTAGCCATGTAACACATAATGGTGTCAGGTGTCAGGTGTCATTTCCATCAGAAATGAATCCAAAAGTGTCAGAATGCACGACAAATTCATTAGATTCATTAGAAAGTAACATGAAGAAACCTGTGAGTATTAATTTGCTCATTTTATTTCTCGGAAACAGATGAAGGAAATACTGTCAAAATAACTGAAAGAAACGTTGTCTATTGGGAAAAATATAACTTCTAGAGAATAATTTCTATACTTTGAACAAATGAAAGAACAATTGGAAAAAATTTTTTGTTGACATCATTCCATTAGAACCTTACATTTCACATATCCCACAGATTGTTCAATTTCTAGTAAAGCTGTAGCTTCAACTATAACAGAACCTTGTTAGGGATTCGCCAGAGACATTAATTAATGACGTGTTTTAATTAACTCGAGAGTTGTCTCTTACAACCCCAAAACTCCTTCAAAGTATAGGATGCTTCATTCAAAACAGCGCTCAGCTGTTCTTACATGTTGACATCAGTCGGCTGAAATTTAATTAACGAACACAAAATTGAACCAATCAGCCGTAAACATTTTTGAACGAGTAGATCTTTCGGGAAAGTGTTTACCATCTTGTGAGAAGGAAGCACCAATTTCTTTGTATTTGTTTTGTATGCTTGCAGATCGTAGTGTTGTAGACCGAAGGTAAATATTATTCCAGAGTGTATCTACGATTCTTGGGCAATCCATCAATGGAGTAGGTCCGAAAAAGTATTTTATCTCATTTCTGAAGATTTTTGAATGAATGGAAGTGTATGCCATGTGTAATAATATGTTCACCGAAGTATATTATCTCTCGAGCATATTTGACTGAATTACTAATTTTTCACAAGCTTCTCTAATAATTCCAAAGAAGAATTAAAAAGTTTTGAATCCACATTATAAGTGTTTGCAAGTCTCAAAATTCTACCTATTGACTCATTATGGCCGTAGTTGGTAAGCTGAAAGATTTCTGTATTTCTTGTTCTCTCTGGATTACCATTTAAAGTTTAACAAATTCCGGTGAATTAATGCTACCTACCATTGATTTTATTTTATGAATTAGTGTAAGATCTGATTCTAAGTTTCTATGAGCCAGAATATTCAAGTTAAGGATCTCATATATAGTTGTATAGTTATATTTACCAATATGATATCCCAATTCATATGCAGAGTACCTTAAAAACTTGTTTTGAACACTTTCTAGCATATCAATATCCACATTATATGAAGAGCACTATATTGTGGAGTTGTATTCGATTTATTAATCTACCAATCGGGTAATATATGGTGTTTAAGGAAGAGACAGAGATGATTCCTCTGAAGATCTAAGAGTGAAACCTAACATTTTTAGTGTTCTAGAAGTAACATTTGCAATATGGGGGTTGAATGACATTTTTGGATCAAGAGTGTTTCCCAAATCTTTGATTGTATTTTTTGTTTCGGAAAAAAGTAAATGTATGACAGTTGTCTTTATTCAATTGCAATCAGTTTATATCACACCAGCGTACAGAGTTAGATAAATCATACTGTAATAATTCAGTATCAGATGAGTCGTGAATAACTTTGAACATCTTCAGATCATCAGCAAACAGAAGTTGTCGACTATAAATAACACCATTCTGATCATTTACAACTAGGTTGAAAAGTAATATTCCAAAATGAGATCCCTGCGGTACACCAGATGGAACTGGGATTAGGGAAGAGTTACCATATTTTACATATTGGACTCTTCAGGTGAGATAATTTTCAATCCATTTCTGAATGTTTTCCTGACTACCCAAAGCGTTTAGTTCACTTGTCATGCACCGTTTGGAACCTTTGATGTAGTAACGAATGTTACTGGAGTTTCATCCCAAAATCAAACCACCATTTTTGACACCTCAATACGTGTTTCAATCACCAAGTGATCAAAGTTTAATCTTCATCTTAAAGATAATCACTTGGTGATTAAAACACGTGTCGAGGTGTTGAAGAGGAAGATCAAAGTTTAATCTTCCTCTTGAAGATAATCACTTGGTGATTAAAACACGTGTCGAGGTGTTGGAGAGGAAGATTGAAGTTCATTCTTCCCCTTGAAGATTATCACTTGGTGATTAAAACACGTGTCTAGGTCTTAAAGAGGAAGAATGAAGTTCATTCTTCCATTTGAAGATAATCACTTGGTGATTAAAACACGTGGCGAGATGTTGAAGAGGAAGATTGAAGTTTATTCTTTCTCTTGAAGATAACCACTTGGTGATTAAAACACGTTTCGAGGTGGTAAAGAGGAAGATTGAAGTTTAATCTTTCTCTTTAACACCTCTTTAACATCTCACAAGATAATCACTTGGTGATTAAAACACGTGTCGAGGTGTTGAAGAGGAAGATTGAAGTTTATTCTTTCTCTTGAAGATAATCTCTTGGTGATTAAAACACGTTTCGAGGTGTTAAAGAGGAAGATTGAAGTTAAATCTTTCTCTTTAACACCTCTTTAACATCTCACAAAATAATCACTTGGTGATTAAAACACGTGTCGAGATGTTGAAGAGGAAGATTGCAGTTTATTCTTTCTCTTGAAGATAACCACTTGGTGATTAAAACACGTTTCGAGGTTTTAATCACTCAGTGATTAAAACACGTTTCGAGGTGGTAAAGAAGAAGATTGAAGTTTAATCTTTCTCTTTAACACCTTCAACACCTCTTTAACATCTCACAAGATAACCACTTGATGATTAAAACACGTGTTGAGGTGTTGAAGAGGTAGATTGAAGTTTATTCTTCCTCTTGAAGATAATCACTTGGTGATTAAAACACGTTTCGAGGTGTTAAAGAGGAAGATTGAAGTTTAATCTTTCTCTTTAACACCTTTAACACCTCTTTAACATCTCACAAGATAATCACTCGGTGATTAAAACACGGGTCGAGGTGTTAAAAATAACGGTTTGGTGTTAGAATGAAGCAACAAATCTAAAGCAAATGAACTTCAAACTGACTAATAAGAAAGCAACAAATTGTGATTTACTCGATAGAATGCCTTCGAAAAATATGTGTAACTAGAATAAACATGGTGTCTATTTTTGAAGGCATTTATAATAGAGTGTCGATAATTGAGCAGATTTCTACTGGTAGATCCACCACGACTGAATCCATGTTGCTGATTTATGATTATATGTCTACAATCTCATGATATCTTTTTTCTTAGCAGACTATCTAACAATTTGGTTAAATCAGATTGATTGCAAACTTACCAATATCTTTGTTTTCAAACATCGTGTGATTCTCATGTCCGATGAAATCCTTGAGCGTTTTCATGACAGTGTGGGTTGCTTCCTGACCGCTGACAAATGGCATGGCACTCGCTCTCATCGTAGCCATTGTTGTAGCTGTCACTCTGTTCTGCATAACCGACGTTGGAGATATATTGGAGCCATTCGCCGTCATGAAACTCAACACGACCAGTCGATCTCGATGCATTATGATGAAGTCCAGGTCCGTGTGCCATATCCAGTCTGTAACAAACGACTCAACGTCAACAAGTGACCCCGGTAGCCAACTGGACTGAATGTGGAATATTCGCCAGTCGAGTGTGAATGGAATAAAAATGGACTTTGCGGTTCGTTGGTCGGGGTTTTGTGTAGCGGGATTGAACTGGGATTGGGTTGTGACATCGACTCTGTTCTAGTTTCAGATATCGCTGAAAGAATTCAGTGGTGCACCAAGCGCAAAATATATACAGGATTTCAACCTGTACTTTACAATGCAGTATAGTGTGTACGACGTTAATTCGAATGACATAAAAAGTAAAAAGTTACCGAACTTCGGCAGTTTCTTTGTATGGCGTGGGCGGCGAGATATAATTAACATTAACAATATTTTTATGTTGAAGGTTTAATATAGTGTTAACTTATAGATTCATCAGACTTGGTACATTTTTTTTTGGTACCTTGGAAGCTGTCTGACTTGTCAATTTAGTCCAAGTCTCAAGAAAACACTGCAGCCTCTTGGGTTTATTGTGTTTATTTTTCCATCTTCTCATGACACCCATTCCGTCAGTTTCGTTCCCTGTACTAGTTTTTAGAGGTTCCGTGTTGGATGTTTGTCATATTCTTCTGGACGTAATTTCGTACGTCCATATATTGCCTGCCTCCTGTGATTCAGTGCCTTACATTCGCATAAGATGTGTAGAGCTGTTTCTATCCCTTCGTTGCATAATCTGCAGCTGAGGTCTCCGTTGTACAGCCCCATTTTATTCAGGTGTCCTCTAAGCGGACAATGATCGGTTAGTAACCCTGTAATTATTCTGAGCCGATCCCTGCTATATTGAAGTAGTTCTTCGGTTCTTTTCTCGGACGGTTTCCTAATGAATGTTCTCCTGTGTTTGTTGCCAGGTACTTTAGTCCAGTACTCTGTGTACTTCCTATTGTTCCATGTCCTAATCTGGTTTCGTACCAATGATTTTGGTACCCCCAGAGGACTTATATATGAAGCTGATGATCCGCGTCTAGCACATTCATTAGCTTTATCATTACCTGTGGTTCCTGAATGCCCTGGCACCCAGTACAAAGTTAATTTGTTCCTTTGTCAGAGCCCCTAGTGCGCTCTTGCTGTCTGTAAAAATATTGATCCGCTCATTTCTTTGAGATGTCAATTTAATAAGCCTTGCACACTGCAAGATAGCATACACTTCCGCCTGAAAGACGGACGTGTACAGTCCTAGCGGATGGCTGTAGTTTAAATTTCTATCCGCTCGGTATATTCCAGCTCCCGTTCCAAGTTGGTCTTCGATCCATCTGTATACCAGGTGTTCTTTCCAAACATGTTTTCGGGATGACTAATGGTCTTCCACTCTTCACGGCTTATGATTTTGGCCGTGAAGTTTGTGTTAAAGGTGTACTTCGGTGTCATGTGGTCCGTGCACATATTCAATATGATCTCCTCCACTTATTCCGAAATTTCTGTTCGGTTCGTCTTTTGTATTTCGGTGAGTTTTCCAGTTTGAATTGCCCATCCTGGCCTACCCCATTATCTCAAAGTGTAAAGGAGGTAGATTCAAGAGTGTCCCCAATGCAGCTGTTGGGGTAGTTCTCATTGCTCTCGTGATTCCCAAACATGCAAGTCTTTGCACCTTGACTAGTTTGTTGGTGGCGGTCGTCTGCTTCATCTTTGGCCACTAGACCAGAGATGCGTATATTATCATGAGTTTAACCACCATCGTGTATAGCCAATATACCATGTCTCGTTTTAGCTCCCATTATTTTCCATAGGTGCCTGTGGCGAGCATCAGTGCTACCTCCGCTTTCCTCTTTATCCTGTCCAAGTTTTGGTTCCAGGTCAGTTTGGAATCTAGGATTTCTCCCAGATATTTACCCTCCCCCGACACTTGTATTTCTTCACCTCGAAGTTTTAGAGGTCCGAAACCCTCCGTTTTAGTCCTTTTGGTGAATGCTACTATGGTCAATTTGAATGGGCTTATATTAAGCCCTTCTTCTTCGGTTCATCTTGTTATAATGTTCAGGGTCTGCAGCATGCATCCCTTCACTACATTATTGTATTTACCCGGGACTAAGATGACTAAGTCGTCTGCATAGCCCAGTGCTTTATACCCATTGTGGTCCAAGAGACATAATGGCTCATATATAGATTACGATATATGAACGCTAGCCACAAGCATATCGAGACAGTCAAGTGGAAGTTACAGTGCGGTACGCGAAGCGATCTAGTAAGGCAATAGACATTAGAATAATAGTTGAAGTTTTAGTTGAAGTATTCATTGTAATTGAAGTGAAATAAAGTCAAGGTGGATTATTATTCAGGGTGATCAATTACTGGTCAACCCACGGGGAATAACCTAACAATAGATACAACTACGAATAAGTTATTACCCACTGACAACATATGTCTACTGGTTAACCATAATCTCACATTTGAGCTTGACAATAATCGAAAATGGGGAGACTGAAGTTCCAGTGTGCTTCGATGTCATACTGAATTCGCATATGTTCGAAAGTTAGAGTGATATTCCCTCAGATACCTGAGAAATAGCAAAGTTAGCATATTTATATTTGTTAATATCATTTTGATGAAAGCAGAATGATGAAATAGGAATTATCAAAAAAAGGCGAAGAGCATTGAATATTTTTCAGGTAACTGATAAATAAATGCCAGTGGAGTTTGTAAAATATACACTAGCTGCCAAATTTTGAATAACATCCAAATAGGCTCAAAATTTAGATAATCTGTTTCTGTTTAAAAAAATCTGTTTAAAATCTGTTTTTCCGATAATCAGATGTCGCCCCCATACGAACGACAACTCTCAGAAGTCGAGAAACTTGTGCGAGCTAAGGACTAACGAGGTCTTACCTTTTAACGTGTGATTCCTAACACGTCACGTCTGAAATCAGACTCAATATAAATGTAATTTGGGTAAATAAAAATCAGAAAGTTCTATGAAAAAGTTTTGTAAATTTTTCAGTGAAACAGTGGAAACAGAAGTAGACATCCTTCGAGTTCCTGAGAAACATCATATGATAACGATCCGACATGGTAGAAAACGGATGTGGTTTCCAGGAAGCTGGATACCTATTAGCTCTTCAACTCTGTAACTTCTAGCGAGAGTAACATACGAGAACAAGTTCAACAGTTGGTCTGATACCTAAAAACTTATTTCTGACTCGGCATATTCACCGGTAGAATAGCAATAAGGAGTGCTAACGCTGTAACCAGTTAGCAGACTTCATCTGAGTCTATTCAATGAAAGTTACTCCGTGGAAACAAAATGATGGTGGATTACACAACTGTTACGTCCAAGAAAACACTACAAAAAAACTTTGAAACTGTGAAGTGTGTTTTTATATAGAACAATATGTCAAAAATATAAGACTGAAGAGAAACTGAGATACAAAAAAAACTGGATACTCGTACATATTCCAGGACCAGACCAGCACTCACGCTAACTTGACATTTTCTCTTAGTCTCGGTCTGATTATGAATGCATTATTAATCTGTGGGATTTTTGAGTTCGGTTGAGAACTGAGCCCAGACTAGATAAAAACTCATAGCATTCCTCTACAAAACGAACAAAAATTTACTCGCCGACGCTTATACAGCGCAATGTAGCTGGGGCAAAATTTTAATTATAAGTCTCATGAAAATTTTAAGCGCTCATTGGATAGAGAACAGGACGGTAGCTAACGAAAATAAATGGGCTCGATTATGCAAAGACAAGAGCCGCGGAAAAGAAGCGTTGGGAAAATGGAAGACGGTATATGGAAGACCTGAATATAAAGTTGAAAGCATGCGAGATGGTTCTCGAAAGGGTTTTTCGAATTCAAGAGAGGTTGCGGTTGATGTGAATGCTGACTGGTCTGACGAACGTTATTGAATCAACTTCACGTAGTTTCTTTACGGAAAGTCACATCGATTTGGAAGTGACGGTCGTAGTTTGTAGTCTTTAATCGAATTTGTGACTCGGCATGTCGAAGACTCCAAGATGGAACGGAAAGAGGTGGATACTGGGACTTTCAATTTATGGTTCACAGGATTCGAAAATCAGCTCTGGTTCCCACTAGTTTGCACAGAGAGTTGAGTTTCTCTTGAAGACTTACGACGTATCCCTTTCCAGACTAATCTCACATTTCAGTATAAATAATTATAACGGAAAATTGATCCCACTGAACGTGAAATGCTTATAATGAGACAATGAAAGAACAAATACCTTTAAATGAAAAAAAAAATGCAAGAAATAAAATAAAAAAACTAATTAATACAGTTTATTGTATGATTTTCACTATAAAAGTATTTTACAGAAAACGTGACACTTGTTTCGCTATATAATAGCTTCGTCAAGCGTAAACAGTTTATGGTTTACAGTTTACAGTTTTGTAAAACTCTTTTATAGTGAAAATCATAGAATAAACTATACTGATTAGATTTAATATGGATTTTCATCAAGTATTGGCCAGTTCTATTTAATTAGAGAAATAAAATATCAGTAATGACAATCTTCCAAATTCAGTAATAATTTTTGCAGTTTTCAAATTATTCAAGCACATTAGATATAGATACATGTTTCTTCATAAGTTTTGTTGAGTGGATGTTAAGAAAATTCTTCCTTTTTAAATAACGAGTGAAGGAAAATATTTCTTGAGTTATTTCTTTTTAACTTTGGTTCCCAAAAAGACAATATAAAAATGCACGTGATATGGCTTGCAAGGAGTCGAAAGATTTCATAATAAATCTATTTGCAATGCAACTATTACTGACAGAATCTGGTTTTTCGTAAATTGTTCACACAAGGATTGGTGTCAAACAGAAACAAAAAATGCTACTAAAAACTTGGTAGACCAACCCATATAGTTGTGTAAACAACTTATATGTTTGAATTGAAAGTGAGTATATTTCCTTAGGATAGATTAGTTTTCAAAAAAAAAGCGTCTTGGCTTTCTACTGCTTTAAAATAAACATCTATTACAGTCCTTCTTTCGGCTGCAGCTGATTATGCTGCACTGAA